TTCTCCCTCGAAAGACATGAAATATTCATACCCGAAATATTGCAAAAGTGAGGTAATTAGCCAAGTGCTGTCTTATCTTGGTGTTGCATGTGGCCTTGCTATCCTATTTTGAAAAGATCTCTCCAATTTTCCTCATCTTCTCTCGCGATTCGTGATCTGTAGGGTTTTCAGTTAGATCACGTAAGCGAGGAAGTTGTTGTCACATCAGATTTTTCAGCATGTTCATTGTTTGGAGAAGGAGCGTAGCGGCTCCCAGACACTTCGAATAAACAGTAGATTTTAATGTCGAAGGAGGCAGATGGTTCTTTCTTGTTTGTGTGGTAGCGGGACGATTTTGCGGATGCGTTTGGTTGCGGAAGCTGCGCTTGCAGCCCGGAGTATTGCGTGTTCAAGAATTTGGGTGTGAAAGGGTGCAACGGTTTAGATTGGAGGTTCTCGATCGGGCAAATCCAGAGCGTGCTATTGAAGATTCTATATCCCATGTTTTCCTAGCGTATGACTGGCCTTCTTTGTCTAATTAAAGTAAATGATTTCATTGGATCACTGATTACACTAGACGTTTCATTTCAGAAGCAGGATTATGAGAAATCCACTTTTGGGTTGGAGAGGCCCAGAGGCCCAAGAGAGAGGGAGAGAAAATTCATAGAATTCCTTTGATTGAAAAGCTTTTTCCATGGTGTTTTAGCTTTGAATATTGCATCGGAAATGCAGAAAAATTTGTGGTAAAAATTATTTTGTTTATTTGCACTTGGAAGCTATAAATGGCTGCCCAAATTGAAAGAAACAGAATTTTATGAACCTACATGTACAACAGGAAAAACTTAGCAAAACATGAAGTTAAGGTCGAATGCTTTATCATAGTTTTTATTATCATATTTTTTAGAAGCAGCTTTAACCATGTTTATAAATTACATGAATGCTATAGAAGATCAGCTATAAATTTAGGATTGATAATAAAATGTATAGAATCTGATACCCCAGAACAAATTTGATCCAAAATTCATTTAACTGAAGTTGAAACTAAGGTCGTCCTTGTATGTGCTGAAGCAGAATTCCATGCCCTGGTCATATTCTCAAAACCG